TATATATATATATATATATCATGTAAATTGCAAAACAGTCTCGTTAACATGTATACAATTTATTAAGTAACAGTTCCTAAAAAATATCATGCAATATAAATTCTTTAAATAATATTATATTGAGCTAGACTAATTTTTCTTTTATAAAAATTGTACATAACATTAATGATATTATTGCAAATAAATCATATTCATATAAAATTTTTATGCCAAAATAAATTATTATAAAATAATCTTGGATTTGTCATTGGTGTTAATAAGAAACACCAAGCTACTAATCCAATTACAAACAAAGAAAACAAACCAGCTCTTTTTAATGGATCTTTAACTGCAACTACTTCAGAAAGATCAGGACATCCCATATGATTACAAAAAGAATGTGCTGTAAATGGTGCTGCTAAATGTCCTAAAAAAATATTAATTTCTTTAAATAAAAAGTGATATATCAAATTATAGTAATGTATTTTATTACAATCATTTTACCCGTTTTAGCAAAAAGAAAAGCAGCATATGCTCCAAATAATGTCGTAAACGCAAATTGAAAACCTATATTAAAAATTTATTATATATTATAAATAATTAATATATTTATTAAAATTAAAATAAAATTAAAATAAATACTTACAAGATATAAATAATGCATGTTTAAGATTCATGCCTGCTTTTACTCTATCTACTACATGATGAAAATGAGCAACACCAAAAAATAAAGGGCAGATAAATATGGCAGTAGTAGGTGTAAAACATTGCAAAAGCAATGGTAACATACATGCTCTAAATGTCCATTCTTCAGCCAAAGGAGCAACTACTAGATTTCTCCACCATATTATTGTTCGCACACTTCCAAACCAATACATAGGTTCTAAAAAGATTAAACATAAAGATCTAATATTTATTTAATAATTTAATTTAAATCTTTAATTATTTAAGAAAAGATACATATTGTACATAATCTATCTAAAATATTTAATATATAAATATATATATATAATCAATATACAATTTATTTAAAATACTAACCAGTATATAATCTCCAAAATCCATTGAAACCTTGTACACATATTGGCCCTAGAAATAGTATCATTGTTAGTAACAATGGTATTATAATTGCTTGAATTAAACCAGGCCATCGCAGTCCCAATAACTCCCAAATTGTTGCCTAAAAGTTATAAATTATAATATTTTGCATTATTGCAAAATAATATATTGCATTTATTATGTAATTAATGATATCATTATACACAATTACCTTTTGAAATACTTTCTCATTCATTCCAAAATACAATAATGCAGGAGATATAAGAGACATAATAAAAACACTAAAAAATCTTTTTTTTATTACAGTTGGATGTTCTCTGCAATAAAAAAAATTTTATATTTTATTAATCTTTGGTCTTTTTTTATGATATTTTTTAATTAAAATTTTTTTCCTTATGGAAAAATTCTGAGATAAAAATTTATAAAAATATAAAAAATGGACATTTAAAGATTGACATTTATGTTATATTAAATAAAAGAATTTTAAAAATTTATTTTAAATATTGAAGAATATATAGGTAATTAGTTAAACAAGTGATGTCGATATTATTGACAGAAAATAATTATTGATAGTTCACACAATTGCTTTTAAATGACGCGCCAATTACAGAAGAAATTGAAGGAAAAAGTTCTCCAATAGAGGCGCTGTGAATTCGATTCTTGTCCAGAAAAGCGACTGCGTGAATCAGGAGAATCAAAGAGTAGACTTTCATGTTCTCGGTCGACGTGAATACAGTTACACTTTGTTCGTGGTTTCCTGTGGTTCACTGTTAAAGGACCGAGAGAGAGCATACACGATTACAGAAAATGGACATTTAAAGATTGACGTTTATGTTAATTTGTTATCGCTGTTAATCGGTACATACCTACTGTACGGAGAATTCCATACATAGAGACTCGCGACGTACATCACTGAGAGAACAAAACATGATAGAATTGCAGTTATGCAGGAGAAATCAGTATTTCGATCCGCAGTCTCCATAACTCCATACTGATGTTGGTTGCTTGTGTCGCGATCCATTGCAGAAGAGGGAATCGGTAAGGGGTAGAAGGCAAGAGAAGGATCGCATAGGAAAGAGGGAGGTCGGTGAGGAAAGAGGGGGAGAGCAGAAATTCATCCGATTGGCGGTCTGGCACTAGTCGGCAGTCCTACCGTCAATGAGAAGATGGCCGCTGGGCTCGGTGGAAGTGTCGCCATTGTTTAGTGTTTAGTTGTTTTACCGTTTCTCGCATAATTTTACGGGAAGCACGATAAAAATGCCAAGTGCGTCGTTCACATCGTCGCGCAATTACGTGCGAAGATCCCGAAGAAAAGGTGCAAACAGGATTCCTCTTCCTTCGAGAACAACCTCGGGTAAGAGCCCTGCATCCGGAGCTCGGTTCACTACTCACCTGTCTCGACTCTCTTCTTTGCCTTCACCTACTTCGATATTCCTAGTTAATTATCCTAATAATTCTCTATAGTATCATTTAAATGATATTCTTCTCATTAATTATATTTTTATTTTCTGATCAAAATTCGTAAAACAATTCCGTCAAACCTACTGCCCACGTCTTCTCACACGATTTTCTCACACTCGGCATGGCCGAAAAACGTAGAACTGATACCTCAATGACGTTTCTCAAAATCAACATACGTTCGCTACTTTTATCACAATCCTTTTTTTTTGGAGACATCGATTATGATATCATATACTTCGCGATTGTCAATTTTTACTCTGGAATGTCGACTCAAAATCTATTTCTTACCCCACCCCCTTTTTTTTTATAATTTTCATTTATTAGGTATTTAGTTAAACTTATAACTGATACTTGCGTGATTTAAAAAAATAATATTTTCGTAATTTTAAGGCAGAAAATTATATCTCTTTCACTTTGATATTATACACATTGCCTACAGATTTTGTGTTAAATTAGAATAATGTTCCACTTTCTCAAAATAGTTTATAAACTCATAATACATTAGTAGATCAATATAGCTGTATTTTTTGAAAATAATGATATTTCTGTTATAAAAATTATAATTTAATAATTAATAATATATCAATATTGAATATGAAATATATATCTGTCATAAATTTTATAGTAGTTTCTCAAAACATATTTGTATTTTCTATCCTTATCTTAATCCCCTAAATGTTTCTTAAATCTATATTATGTTATTTATTTTGACATTTAATCAGTAATTTAAATATTAATATTTTATAAATATTAAACTGTATAAATGTTATAAATGTTAAATTATATATATAGATTAATTTTGATCAAAACATTTTTATATAAAAATATTAAATAAATATATTTTTATAAAATAAAATATTAGAATATAATAATTAATTATATATACAAGATATGTATATTAAAGTTATTTTGAATTATTTATAATTTTGATAATTTATTTTTTTTAATGATATTATTGGTTCTTTTTATTTAAGATTATTGTGTTTT